CCAGTATTATGTTGAATAACAGTGGGGAGAGTGGGCATCCCTGTGTTGTTTCCAGTCTCAGAGGAAAAGCTTTCAGCTTCTCACTGTTTAGTATGATGTTGGCTGTGGATTTATCATATATGGCCTTTATTATGTTGAGGTACTTGCCCTCTATACCGATTTCTTTGAGAGTTTTTATCATGAATGGATGTTGAATTTTGTTGAATGATTTTTCAGGGTCTATGGAGATGATCATGATCATGTGGTTTTTGTTTTTCTTTTTGTTGATGTGGTGGATGATGTTCATGGATTTTCGAATGTTGTATCATCCTTGCATCCCTGAGATGAATCCCACTTGGTCATGGTGTACAATCCTCTTAATGTATTTTTGAATTTGGTTTGCTAATATTTTGTTGAGTATTTTTGCATGTATGTTCATCAGGGACACTGGTATGTAATTTTCTTTTTTGGTGGGGTCTTTGCCTGGTTTTGGTATTAGGGTGATGTTGGCTTCATAGAATGAGTTTGGGAGTATTCCCTCCTCTTCTATTTTTTGGAAAACTTTAAGGAGAATAGGTATTATGTCTACTCTGTATGTGTGATAAAATTCCAAGGTAAATCCATCTGGTCCAGGGTTTTTTCTCTTGGGTAGTTTTTTTATTACTGCTTCAATTTCTTTGCTCGTAATTGGTTTGTTTAGATTTTGTGTTTCTTCCTTGGTCAGTCTTGGAAGGTTGTATTTTTATAGGAAGTTGTCCATTTCTTCTAGGTTTTCCAGCTTGTTAGCATATAGGTTTTCATAGTATTTTCTAATAATTCTTTGTATTTCTGTGGGATCCGTTGTGATTTTTCCTTTCTCATTTCTGATTCTTTTTTGCTCTTAACAAGTCTGGCTAGAGGCTTATCTATTTTGTTTATTTTCTCAAATAACCAACTCTTGGTTTGATTTATTTTTTCTGTTGTTTTATTCCTCTCAATTTTGTTCATTTCTTCCCTGATCTTTATTATGTCCCTCCTTCTGCTGACTTTAGGCCTCATTGTTCTTCTTTTTCTAATTTTGATAATTATGACTTTAGACTATTCATTTGGGATTGTTCTTCCTTCTTTAAATATGCCTGGAAGCTGTATACTTTCCTGTTAAAACTGCTTTCGCTGCATCCCACAGAAGTTAGGGGTTTGTGTTGTTTTTGTCATTTGTTTCCATATATTGCTTGATCTCTATTTTGATTTGGTCATTGATCCATTGATTATTTAGGAGCATGTTGTTAAGCCTCCATGTGTTTGTGAGCCTTTTTGCTTTCCTTGTACAATTTATTTTTAGTTTTATGTCTTTGTGGTCTGAGAAGTGGGTTGGTAGAATTTCAATATTTTTGCATTTACTGAGGCTCTTTTTGTGGTCTAGTATGTGGTCTATTTTGGAGATGTTCCATGTGCACTTGAGAAGAATGTGTATCCTGTTGCTTTTGGATGTAGAGTTCTATAGATGTCTATTAGGTACATCTGTTCTAGTGTGTTGTTCAGTGCCTCTGTATCCTTACTTATTGTCTGTCTGGTGGATCTGTCCTTTGGAATGAATGGTGTGTTGAAGTCTCCTAAAATGAATGCATTGAATTCTATTTCCCCCTTTAATTCTGTTAGTATTTGTTTCACATATGTTGGTGCTCCTGTGTTGGGTGCATAGATATTTATAATGGTTATATCCTCTTGTTGGACTGAGACCTTTATCATTATGTAATGTCCTTCTTTATCTCTTGTGACTTTCTTTGTTTTGAAATCTATTTTCTCTGATACTATTACTGCAACACCTGCTTTTTTCTCCTTGTTGTTTGCATAAAAGATCGTTTTCCATCCCTTGATTTTTAGTCTGCGTATGTCTTTGGGTTTGAGGTGAGTCTCTTGCAAACAGCATATAGATGGGTGTTGCTTTTTTATCCATTCTATTACTCTGTGTCATTTGATTGGTGCATTCAGTCCATTTACATTTAGGGTGATTATTGAAAGATATGTACTTACTGCCATTGCAGGCTTTAGGTTCATGGTTACCAAAAGTTCAAGGTTAGCTTCTTTATTATCTTACTGTCTAACTTAACTCTCTTATTAATCTATTATAAACACAGTGTGATTCTGTATTTCTCTCCCTTCTTATTCCTCCTCCTCCATTCTTTATATGTTAGGTGTTTTATTCTGTGCTGTTTTGTGTTTCCTTAGACTGCTTTTGTGGGTGGTTTATTTTATTTTTTGCCTTTAGTTAGTATTTGATTGTTTCGATTTCTTTCTGTGATTTTATTTTCTCTGGTGACATCTGTTTAGCCTTAGGAGTGCTTCCATCTAGAGTAGTCCCTCTAAAATACCCTGTAGAGGTGGTTTGTGGGAGGCAAATTCCTTCAACTTTTGCTTGTCTGGGAATTGTTTAATCCCTCCTTCATAGTTAAATGATAATCATGCTGGATACAGTATTCTTGGTTCAAAGCCCTTCTGTTTCATTGCATTTAATATATCATGCCATTCTCTTCTGGACTGTTAGGTTTCTGTTGAGAAGTCTGATAACCTGATGGGTTTTCCTTTGTAGGTGATCTTTTTTTCTCTCTGGCTGCCTTTAATACTCTGTTCTTGTCTTTGATCTTTGCCATTTTAATTATTATGTGTCTTTGTTTTGTCCTCTTTGGGTCCCTTGTGTTGGGAATTCTGTGTGCTTCCATAGTCTGAGAGGCTATTTCCTCCCCAGTTTGGGGAAGTTTTCAGCAAGTATTTCTTCAAAGACACTTTCTATCCCTTTTTTCTCTCTCTTCTTCTTCTGGTACCCCTATAATGTGGATATTGTTCCATTTCGATTGTTCACACAGTTCTCTTAATGTTCTTTCATTCCTGGAGATCCATTTATTTCTCTCTGCAGCACCTTCTCTGCGTTCATGTTCTCTGATTTCTATTCCATTAATGGCCTCTTGCATCTTGTCCATTCTGCTTCTAAGTCCTTCCAGAGATTGTTTCATTTCTGTATTCTCCCTCCTTAGCTCTTGCATATTTCTCTGCAATTCCATCAGCATGGTTATGACCTTTATTTTGAATTCTTTTTCAGGAAGATTGGTTAAATCTATCTCCTCAGATTCCCTCTCATTGGAGGTTGTCTGTGTGATTCTGGTCTGTATCAAATTATTCTGTCTTTTCATGGTGATAGAGGTAGTTGTGGGCAGTTGGCATGTGTTTCAGCTGGGACATCCAAGACCCTTTCCACTTGCTTCTTTCCTTCCTTTCCTGGGAGAACAGCAACCCCTAGTGTCTTGTGCTGGGCAGCTGCACACAGACCAGGCCTCTGAGTCTGGCCTGGGGGTTGCAGAGGATGCTCTGCATGGCTGTTGTGAGTGTGGCAGGTCTCAGGCTGCTGCTCCACTATGGTGGCCCACACTGGAGGGGGAATGGGCTGGAGGCTGTTTATCACCATGAAGGGCCTCAGAGTTGCGCTTCTGCCCAGGGGGTTAGTGCACCCAGAGTTCCCCGGGATTCCCAGCTGCTGGGCTGAGTGTGCCATGATTCTTCCATCCAGCTGTGGGGTCCCTGTCCCTGTAAGACTTTCAAAAAGCACTTGCTTTTCTTTTGTCACAGGGACGCCAGCTCTGGGAACCCACCCACAGGTTTTACTCTTCCATTTCCCTAGTATGCAGCACACCACGCACTGTGTGTCTGAGCTCCTGGTGCAGATGGCTAGGGCTGGGTATTTGGCATTCCTGGGCTCCCACTCCCTCCTCCCTGCTCTGACTCCTCTCCTCCCGCCAGGAGCTGGGGTGAGGGGCTCTCGGGTCCCGCCGGGCCACGGCTTGTATCTTACTCCCTTCATGAGGCACTGGGTTCTCAAAGTTGTAGATGTAGCCTTGCTGTTGTCCTATATCTTCTAGTCTCTCTCTTAGGAATAGTCGTACTTGTTGTATTTACAAAAATATATATGGTTTTGGGAGGAGATTTCTGCTGCCCTACTCACGCCACCATCTTGGCTCCTGCTCTCTGCTTTAAGTTATTTAAATAAACATTTAAAAAATGTGTATCAACCCATACATTCTGATAAATTCATATTCCAATAATTTTGCTTTCTTTGTTTATTAAAAAAAATCTAACTGTGGAAACCATTCTTGCTTGGTTTAGCTTTCAACAGTATAAAATTCTTTCTGTTCAAAATTCTTTGAGAAGAATGCAAAATAGACCTACCACACTGACAAAATACAGAATTTTATTTGCAACTTTGGTTAATATAGTGTGGATAAAACTGTAATGTTTCCAGAATATCTTGCCTGGCTTTAGTGCATCTGTATATCAACAGGCGTTCCTTGGGGGTGGAGGAAGGTTCTTCTCCATATCAATGGGTAATTACCTGGGCAATGGAGGGCTTATCTGAACCTGAGAGGTTAGGAGGGAGGTCCTGGCTTGCTTCTGCCACAGTAGGAAAGATGGCTCCAGACTGCAGTTTGCAAGCAATAAATGGATTTTAAAACTTTATTTCTACCTTTTACTGATTTCAGTTTTAGAAGTATTTTGCCCTGAGATTTCCTCTCCCTGGACTTACATGTAGAATTATTTATTGCAACTGAAATCATTTAATTTATAGGCTCAAATGGATATTCCGTGTGTACATGATGAAATTTAAAAGGAATAAAGGAATCAGAAGTTTGTATTACTAATTTTCATAACTGCAACACTCTAGCTCATCAAGTTTACACCCACAAATGCTAGTAAAAACTGAGTAAAGATTTACAAATCTTTTTGTGATAAAACAATTTCTCACATTTTTTTGACAGAATGGTGTTACACTAAATTTTCAAACTTTATATTTTACATTTTAGATATTGCTTAAGCTGCCCCCACGAAGCCTCTGTAAGACTTTTTTTTTCTAAAACTGGTGTATATACCCTAAAATGTGTTAACCAAATGTGCAGTGGAATACATAGGTTCACCACTGGAAAATAACCCTTCTTAAAACTCGGCAGTACTGAGTCAAATAATTTAAGATACATTACCACATTGTGAGCACTGACCAATGCACGAGAATCCATTAAAGAGAGGTGCTGGAAGGTTCTCTTCAATCCTGAAGGAAAAAGGCCTCGAAATGGGAAATACTACAAGACCCAGCATAATTTGCGACCACCATTGATAATTCCCAGAATGCAGTGCTCGCCCGCACTCAGGTTTCCCTTGGAGCTGGGGCTTGTAGTTCTCCTGCATTGTGTCAGACAGTTCGGCAATGGCAGTAGTTTCTTACCCTGCCGGAGGATATTAGGTGTAGTCTTCCAGCTTTTGGCAAAGCGGGAACTGACCCTGCGCCGGCCGGGTTCTTTCATCTCTTGGCTGCTGCTTTACCCAGGTAAGTCACGGAGCGGCTACAAATCCCCGCAGCAAGGCCCCACCCTCCCTTTCGGGGAGCGACCTCGTTCTACTGAAGCCTTTTGTCCCTGCGCTCTCGCCGTAGAAGCCGCCGCCTATCCTCCTTTGTGTGCTTCAGGAAGTCGCGGAGCTGGTGGCGGCAGCTCTGGGCGTTGGGGGCGAAAGAGAGGGAGTGACCGAGAAGTCGCAGGCGCACCGATTCATCCTCGTCCCGCCACTTGGCAGGTGGGTTAACTGTTCTCTCCTCAAGGCTGTTGTGTCTGCTGTTTCTCGTCCTGGGGCTCTCAGAGCAGGTTGGCAGTTGCTGGTGACAGCGCCGCCCTGCCCGGCTCCTGAAAGGAGAGGCGCGGACAGCCGGGTGCGGTGACACGGGAAGGCCAGGGGTACGAGCCCGTCGCCTTCCCTCTGCGACCCTGCGCAGGTGGCCTGAGGAGCCTCGAGGCTTGTTTGGCTCCCACGGGCCCCCTCGCCCGGACGCCTTATTCTGGACTCGGCGTCTGGGCCGTGACCCCACGGGAGAATGACTTCTTGCTCCAGTTTGTAAATAAAAGTCATTACTTCTTGCGTTGACAGCGTTTTCAGTCACTGTGTGTGTGTGTGTGTGTGTGTGTGTGTGTGTGTGTGTGTGTGTGTGTCTCGGAGAGTACCCAAACACGGGGGTTGTAGCACAAAATTGCAGAGAATTTATTTTCCTTGGAGTTTTAAAAAAGTGAACTTATTGATGGAGGCTCTGGCCTCCGTGAGAATGAGCAGGCCGGTCAGCTGTATGTAGTTCGGCCAGTCATACTCCGTTGGGCCTTGACCGAAAATACACTTACCTTAACTAAGTATATTTAATTGCTAAAGATGGTAATTTTTGTGTTTTGCTTGTCCTTAGTATTACTATTAAATGGCAGCTACAGAATTTACAGAAATTTTCTGACTGCATATTGTTGTTACCAAATTTCTAGGAATGAATGAAAAACTCTGGTAATAGATTTGTTTTGTGTCATATAACCTAAGAGCTTCTTAATGCCAACTCATGTCCTCTGTTTTAAGGACCAGCGACATTGGGTTAAACTTGGGCATGTGAGCATTAAAGAAGTTACTATGTGGTAGTTACTGTGCTCAACTCTGAATATTTATTTATTATACACATTTGTTTAAGATGTTTTTCAAGTCTTAGTGACATATATGCTTCCACTATTTCAAAAGTAGAGATTATATAAAGTTCCCCTTAAAGAACATTGGAATTCATGGCCTCTTGAGACAATTCTTGAAGACTAATTTTCTTAAAAAGTGATGCCTTTACCAGTGTAATGATGATTATAAATGATTGTATGCTTCTTAAGGTCACAAAGATGTCAGACAAAAGTGAATTGAAGGCAGAGTTGGAAAGAAAGAAGCAGCGGTTGGCCCAAATCAGAGAGGAAAAGAAGAGAAAAGAAGAAGAAAGGAAGAAAAAGGAAGTATGTTTGATTTTTTAGAAAATAAACTGAATATTAAATAATTGGATTTATCTCAATTACTTATAGTTTTATGTAATACTTTCAGAATAGTTAAAAAATTCAGCAGGTGCCTACAAATATAGCACTATAGGTGGATCTTTGAAGAAACCAGGTATGTGAAAATGACAAAACTGGAAAGGAAAATGTTTTTTTTACTGAATAAAAATATATATAGGTTAATGCATTTCTAGGATTTGATTCATGAAAGTTCAATTTACATATTTACTCTTCTAGGAGTATGTTTATCATATAAAATAAGGGGCATCTGCCTTGTAATAGCTCATACAACAGCATATATCATAACCTAGTTTGGATTTTGAACTTATTTATCTGAACATTTTACTAGTCTGAAATGCTAATAATTTGTCAGAATAGATAACAGCAAACAGAAACATACAATAGATTATTTAATTGATTAGGGGATTTGTTCTTACCTCCTTTATCATGAGTTAATCATTGAAATATTTTTATCAAGTAGTTGGTTTGATACTGCCATAAAGGTGGACCAGGTACTTATGTCATCTGATTTTTTACATCACCTTTTATTGTGTGTGACAAGTATACACTGGCCCTGAGCTGGAGATATTTCATGTGCCCCTATAATGAAATGTACATTTATCGCTATGGAAACTTTTTAAACAGATGGGTACACTTTTACCACACATATATTTTAAATGGTCTGGGTAAAATAGTTTGGCCTAAGTGTCCTAAGATATTAGTACTACGTTTTTCTATGTGATAGCCTAAATAATAGCCAAGATTTCTAGAAATCTCAGGGGAAAAAAATCAATAAAAGAAAAAAAGTAGAATTTACGTATATCATTGCCATGAAGCTGTAAAAGCTCCTAATTGAAGAATTTTCTAGTTTATTCTGAATCTTTCTGTGGTACATTATTATAAGGGGGTTTGAGTTTTAAGTTAGCTGTTTGATTAAAAACCAGCTTATAGAAACATGAGTCAGACTGGCAGAGCTATTTAAGTAGTATCCATACCCTTCAGTGCTGAGAGCAAATTTGATTTTTGTTTGCTAAGGATGGCTATAAGTGGCATAAGTGGTCTCTAAGGGGTATCTATTACATGATTAATATCTAATTTAAGGTTTATAAAACATTACAAAGAGATAATTTAATAATGTTGAACTATGAGTCTACTAATTTATTTTTACATACAGCTAAAGTGTCAACTTGATAGTATTGCCTGTTTGGCTATTTTGATGAAACTTTCTGAGACTTCATTAGGTTAAAATGGTGTCATAGACTATTATGGCTTAGGAAATTCTCTGCAGACAATTGTATGAGTAATAACTGTGTAGCTGAAATAGACATTTGAAGTGTGTATATAAAACCTTTCCTTTAAAGTCTTAATTTCACTTGAGATGTTTTGATGATCTGAGGGTATCGAGGCTTATCTAATTTAACTGGAAGATTTTGCTAAAACTATAAATGGCTGAAATAAAAGCTGGAAAGAATTTCAATAACAAAATGTTCCGTGCTGTGTAGAAGTGAATTTTAATTTTACCAAACCCAACCACATTTATACTATTGTAAAAAAAAGACATATAGTTTGAAAAATAGAAATAAAAACCTTTCTCCAGATGAATTTTTGACAAAGATCCTCCAAATAAAGTTGCATAAATAAAATGAAAACTTCATACAGCAATTTAGGGTATTTTTCAACAAATCAAATTGTCCATTTACTTAAAATTTGTTACCTCTTAAACAATTCCATTTTTTTCTCATAGTATTGTGATAATTATATCTAAGCTTTTGTGTGTCTGGGGGAGATTTCCACAGTCCTGACGGGGTATAGCATTTTCACACTACATATAATTAGAAGTAGTTGTGCTTTTTGAATGTACTTATTAGGAAAATTTTTGTTGGCACTCCTTGATTACATATAAAAATGAATCGATTTAGTACCTACTGTTTAGAAATTATTTACTAGAGCTCTATTAAGAATGATTTTCATATACTGACTATAATATGTATTCAAAACTAAGTCCACCCCCAAAAGTATGCAGTATTAGTACATTATTTAAAATACATTTTTTTCGCAAACAGACATGTAAACTTTAGTTTTGTTTTGTTTTTTGTTTTTTTTTTTTTGGTACCCTTAATCTACAATTACATGAGGAACATGATGTTTACTAGACTCCCCCATCACCAAGTCCCCCCCACATACCCCATTATAGTCACTGTCCATCAGCATAGTAAGATGCTATAGAATCACTACTTGTCTTCCCTGTGTTGTACAAACCTCTCCGTAAACTTAAGTTTTTAACTTAAAAAATTTAGACGGATCAGAAGAAAGAAGCAGTTGCTCCTGTGCAAGAAGAATCAGATCTTGAAAAGAAAAGAAGAGAAGCTGAAGCATTGCTTCAAAGCATGGGGCTCACTCCAGAATCTCCCATTGGTAAGGATACGAATATATCCATTTATATATGAGAGAAACATATAGTCTGTTCAGCTTAGAAATACCTGAGATGAGTGAATTGACAGTATATTTTGCATATTTTTTCTTATTTGTGTCTTAAAAATCATTAATCTTATAATTATTTGGATTGTCTTTCTTTAGATATGCTAATACATGGTTATTTTGTTGGTCAAAAGAGCTGCAAGATTAATTATATTTATTAACATATACCAAACAACCAATGGACTTTTCTTGTTAAATAGTAATTTATTTCAACAAACATTTGTTAAGGCAGTTTTCGATGCCATTATGTATTATATTCAAAGATGACTGTGATTCTAATTTTAATTCTATATTCCTTTCTGTAAGTTAAAGAGAGATGTAATGCATCAAATTTCTAAAAGCATTCTAAAATACAGGAGTGGAAGGAGAAGCTGATAGATAGCTTTCTGCTCTAAATTCCAATAAGGGAAATACTGACTGGTAGCTTATTTTTGGCAGTGATTTGACTTAATCTTATTCTTTTTTTTGTGCTGTTCATTTTGGAAACCGTAGACCAAAAAGCTGAAATAGTGGAGGTACTGAAGACAATCTAGTTACATATGAGAAAGCATTAAATGCTTATTTAACATAATTCTAAGATGGGTGCTAGTACATAGTATTTTAGTTGGATGTAATCTTTGTAATTTAGGGACCTAAACTTCAGGATTGGTTCATAGGCTAATTCCATCTAGTCCAGGGAACAAATACCAGAGATATTAACTGCTGTGTACCTGTTGTTCTGAAACTGCAACATAACTGTCTTTAGACCTGTATTTCTAAAAGGTTTCAAGATGGACACTCTCATAGTCTGCTTCATTGTTCTTTTGGCTCATTTGCCTTTTCCTTAATGATAGAATTTGAAGATTGAAATAGATTAATTTTTGCCTTTATTTAATGTTTATGTTACATATTGCAATTTTAAAAGTAAATAAACCAGAACACTTATTTAAAACAAAACAAAACCCTAGTAATTAAACCACGCTGTTTCTTGGTTATATGGTATTTGAGTGATCTGTTTTCTGAGACTGGCTTTATTTTTCCCCTATGGGATTTTTTTTTTCTATTCTGTTTAGGACCTCAGTTTCACTGAATTCATGGCCCACCTCCATCAATTCTTGAAATACTGTTCTTTAGGGAGTGTGTGTGTGTGTGTGTGTGTGTGTGTGTGTGTGTCTACCTACCTCATTTCCCATCTCCAAATTCCATCCTCTATCCCAGTATCCCAGTATTGCATTAAGTACCCATTCTTGCATTTTTAACATATATCCATTTGATCTGTCCTACATGTGTTTACCTTTTTCAAGGTTTCATTATCTATGTGTACATATGCTTTATGTACATAAATGGCACTGTGCTGTATGTGTCATCTGTCAAGCAGCATTGTATTTGAGATCTACCCAAGTTACTGGATCTGGTTATTTATTTACAGATCTAGGTTATTTATTTCTGACTGCTGCATAATAGTCCATCACATACCGTGTTTTACTTGTCCATTCCCCAGTAATAGGCACTTACACTGTTTCTCTCTCTTTACTTTGTTATACTGCAAAGAACATATTCTTTCTCCTTGAGGAATGTGAAGAGTTTCCTACAGTATATGCCCATGAATTGACTTGTTCTGTCATTGTGTATAGGTTTATCTACATTTATTAGGTTCTATATACCTCTGAAGAATGATTACAAAAGTTTACTCTCCCACTATCAGTGCATGAGAATTACTATTTTGCCATATCCACATCATCACTTGGTATTACCCAACCTTCTAATTTTTGCCAACTTGTTGGGTTTAAAGTGGTATGTCAAACTGTGTTAATAGCATAAAAAACATTTATGTGTTTATAGTGAGGTTGACCATTTTTTCATACATGTATTAACCATTCAGATTTTCCCTTCTATGAGTTGCATATTCATGCCTTTTATCCATTTACTATTGGGGGGTCTTTATCTTGCTGTAGAAGTTCCTGTATATTTTTGGGAAGGACTTCTTTTTTAAAAATACCTTCTCCCAGTCTATTGCCTGTTAACTCTGTTTATAGTACCCTTCACTGACCAGAATCCTTCATTTTGATATATTCATATCCTTTATTTTGATAATTGTCAGATCTACCTATTATAACTCTTTTTGTGTGTTTATTTTTGCCTCCTTTACCATAATTGCCCAGGTAGGCATGGATTTATATGCAATGAGGGAAAGACAGTCTTCAATAAATGGTGTTGGCCAAACTGGACAGCTACATGCAAGGGAATAAAACTGAATAACTATCTATCCAAAAGTAAACTCAAAATGGATTAAAGACCTAAAGACATGAAGCCATAAAACTCTTAGAAGAAAACATAGGCAAAAATCTCTTGAACATGGGATGAGTCATTTTTTTCTGGGTACTTCTCCCTGGGCAAGGTAAACAAGAGCAAAAATAAACAAATGGGACTGCATCAAACTAAAAAGCTTCTGTATAATTTGTTATAAAAAATCACACCCTCATCTTTCCTCTTTTTCAGAATAGCTCTAGCATCACAAAATTTTTCTTCCCCTCAAAAAAATTAGCTTATTAAGTTGTCCCCTTCAAAATCTTGCTGCACCATACATTGCATTCAGTTATATGTCTTTAGCCTATCTAAATTTAGAAGATCCTTCTCACACATACTACTTTTTTTGCCCCTTTCCTCAAGTTGTTGAGTGGGCCAATTGGTCTCTAGAATGTCCTTCCTCCTGGGTTTGTCTCTCACATCTTTTATTTCTCTATTATTAATATTTCCTCTAAACAGGAAATAAGATTTAAAACTTTATTAGCTTCAGGTTGAACATATTTGGCAAGAATATCTCATGAATGATTCTGTGTACTTCATACTGCATCCCATTAGTAGCGCATATGTCTGGTTATTGAGCTATTAGTGGTGCCAAGATTGGTTTCTGGGTTATGATTGTGACAAATAGGTTTCTCCATTATAATCACATTTTTTTCTCCTTATGCCTAGCAAGTAATATTTGGAGGTGATACTCTGGCACCGAGTGAATATTCATTTCTCTGTCGGCGTTTCACCAAATCATTTTAATACTTACTGATGATCCTTGTCTAAACCAGTTATTTAATTAGGAGTTGCAAAATTGTTTTTGTAATTCCATAATTCCTTTTACATTTATTGGCTGAAATTTTTCTTGAAGTTGAGTTTTTTCTCAGTAACTAGGACTATTTGGTTACCCTAAATGCATTTCCTATTAGAAAAGCAGAAGACATACTTCATTTTTTTTCATAATTATTAATAGTTACCTCCAGGGGTGGCAGATGAGTTTTTGTGTGTATTTTTAAAATGCATTAACTAATATTTTATTGAGAATTTTTGTATATATACCCAAAAATAAAATTGGCCTGCAGTTTTCTTGTATTGTCTGTGGCCATCATGGTTATGGTGTTAAGTAAACAGGGCAGCTTTCCCTTTTGTTATTTTGTAGAATAGCTTATAAAAGGTAGATATTACCTCTTCCTTAAAAACTTGATAGAATTTGACTGTAAACTGCCTGGGATTATGACTTCTTACCCAAGGGGATAGTGAAGAAGCAGGGGTTATTCCCCATTTCAAGTTTTTTTAAATGATTATAATCATCAACTTTTTAGTGGTTGTAATCATCAATTCTGCCACATTCTGTTGCTTGGAAAAGAGTCTTTAAGTCCAGTCCACATTCACAAAGAATTTAGACCTTCTGTAAAACCACCAAGTTTTAGGTCTCTTCATACACTTTTTTTTCTCAATGTATTAATATGATTTATATTGGTAGATTTTCTAATGTAAAAGCATGATTACATTCTAGAATAAATCCATTAATTGTGAAGTAATTTTTTCTTGTACTGCTGGATTCATTTGCTGACCTTTTATTTGAAAGTTCTTCTTCTGTACCCATGAGAGAGTCAGACCTGTAACTTTTTTTTCCTTTTACTGTATCTCGTATGGTTTTATTATACTAGCCATAAAACAAGTTATGTGGTTTTCCACCTTCTTCTGTTCTCTGACAGATGCCTAAAGATCTTTCTGATATTTATTTAAAATTAGGCCTGAAGAATACAGGTACAGATGAAGGCAGCAGTAACTCACAATAAATAATACATTTTGTATCACGACCCAGGATACTTGTTTTTTTTTTTCACTATAGAGTGTATTTATCAAATATTTTTTAATTGTATAAGCATAAAAAAACACTACTACAATATTCAAGAGGACGTATTAAAAACAGCAATCTATTGTTTTCCTTTTTTTAATGGACTTTTTTCCCTTTTTTTAATTCTACTGAAAATAATTTTTTTAAAAGATACAGCCATAAAACCTCTCTTAGCTTATTTTTGTTGGTAGGTTTTTAATAATTTGGTCATTTGACTTCTTTATATCAGAGATCCTTGAGAGCAGGGACAGTATATTAACATTTGTACCCCTGATGCCCAGCACTGGCTAGACAGTTCAGTGTCTGTTTAGTTACTGTTAAGTCACATGTCCTCCCACCTGGTGAAGCCCAATACAAACCACCTGCTTTAAAAGCAGTGGTAACAACAAATTTCAGGAAAATGCGTAATAGAAATTGAAATTTGAATATTTCATAAAAGAGTTATGGCTTGGTTTGTTTGTTTTTTAATTAAACTTAAGTGGCCAGTCTTAAAGTTAATTTTAGGTACAACTTTCAAGACTTATTTTTTCAAGTGTGTAGTTCTTAAATGTTGATGATCAAAAAAAATTAAGTGAATCTCTTTTTGTGTATGTAACTGCTGTTTTAACCATCTTGTAAAGAGGTGAAAACAGACATTGTCAGATTACACTGTAGCCTGAATATGTATCAATAGAGCAGAGTACATTGATTAATGTGATAGTTTATTAACTGGATTTTCTTTTATTAGGAAGAAAAAAGGTTGCTAGTCAAAATAAGTGTGTCATTTATTTCCCTCCCTCTCCTTGTAACTTCTGAATATTTTTAATTGATTTTTTCCAGTTTTACATAGAAATAATAAACATACATCACTGTATGATTTTTTGTCCAGTTTTTCTGAAAAATTATTGACATACACTGTATGTCATCCTGTATGTATAAGGTATACATCCTGATAGTTTGATCTACACATATTGTGAAATGATTACCACAGTGTTGAGTTAACATCTGTCATCCCATGTAGATACAATAAAAAGCAAAGAAAAAAAGCTCATGATGAGAACTCTTAGGATCTATTCTTAACTTTCCTATATATCTATCATATTACATTTCCTGTATATCATGTTAACTATAATCATATTATACATTACATCCCTGATACTTCTCTTATTATAACTGGTAAATCTGATTTTTAGATAGAATACTGTCCATGTACTAAGTCATTTTTTCAAGGTTAGTCTAATTTTAAAAAGGGGTTCCTTGTATGTTTTAGTACTATAAAATTTTATTTTTTTATTTCTTTAAAAATTGTATCTGATACTCTGAATTACAGGAAATGAAATATTTAGGGGAGATTAGTGGAGAGTGTTGAAACTTCATTATCAGGAGAAGAGTCCGTAGGAAAGGGAGAAATTAACATTTAAGAGAGTTAAGGTTTAAAGCAATTGGTTTAAAGCAATTCCTTTCAAGACAAAGAGTAAGGTATGAAAAAGTTACCTCAATGTCGACATTCCAGGCTAGGAACACTTGTATCCACAAGAGGGCGTTATTGTAGTGCGGGCTGTGTTTGAGTATTAAGTATCTGGTGAGCTAGAGAGGCCTCACAAACTTCAGGTTCTCAGAATCTCACTCCTTCCATTTCAGTGTCTTCTACCAACACTCCCACGCCCCTACATTCACTTTCCTTGGCTGTCTGCTTTTTCTAAGGCCTTCCTGGCAGAAGCCCCTTCTTGCCAAAGGCTTTCTTCTACTTGAAAAATGATTGGGCTGTGTACTTTTCTTCATCTCTGAAACTTCTGTATAGTTCTGAGTGATTGACTCAATTCTAATTCTAAATCTAGGTACATTCCCAAGTCCATTGAGGTTTTAAAACATTCCACTTATTTCTTCACAGCCCAAAGACAGCAGTGTTAATTTTATATCCTTAGAAAGACAAGATCTAAGCTGGCAGGAAAGGCCTTCTTGATTGCCTTTTTGTTCTAGACTTTCAGTATTACTTACATGATCACTGAATGCCATAGTGTATATTTTTCAGTTTACTTCATATTTCTGCTTTGGTCCTCAAAGGAAGAAATAGGTGCTTTTGTTTGAAGCTTAAATTCATTCATATACTCATGGGTTAATGTTAATTTTTTATTTTGTACCACTTAATGGTTTTTTTAGGCTTTTAAATACAGTACTGTGGAGTAAAGGTAATTTGATTGAATCACTGTTCTTACTAAGCAAATCCTATCAGATAATTTGGCAAAAACTAATTAGTGGCTTATATTATTGTTAAAGCTGTTTGGACTCTCAACCCATCTTTAAGAATGAATTCTAGAATAGAGTATTTTCTGAGATTTGAGGGTCTGGGTTCATTTTTCTTTAACCTAGATTGCATGCTTTTATTTGTTCTTAGGGTCTTTTGTTGGAGTCTGGGAGTGTAGCAGCATTGCTTTATTGCCCAATTACTGTATTCTTTGATTTTTCTAGACTGTGTGAGTTAAAATATGATTGTCATCAAATAATGCTGCTATTCCAATTTTTTCTATTAACATTCCTCCTTTTCCAGTGATAGTAATTTTCTTTTTCTAGATTTGTCCCTTCTATGGTGTATATTATTTAATATTGCAAGATGAAGTTAGTGGGTCCAGATAATAACTTTGATTCCTTAATGAGTCCTGTCCATCAACTGGCCTGACAACTATCTTTTGACAGAAAGAATATAGTCTGGGATGGAGAAAACTATATTTTTATCTAATTACAAATGTGAAATGGCAGTTTATTTTGCTCTGGCTGAGAAACTGTGATAATTTGGTAACCTCACCCTTGTAATTTTTTTTTTGAAACTTTTTTTGGCTAGATTAGTGTATTTTTTGTGTATGTGTAATTACTATTTAACCTGTTTCCATATAGGATTTGAAGAAACATTTTTAAAAAATGTAGTCTTAACCAAGTAAGATGCTGTTGAACTTGCTGAGTGGAGTCTTTGATACTTAAAGTCACCAGAAAGGGGGGAAAAACATTAAACTGGAGAAGAATTTTATAATTCATCAGAAATATTTTGATTGTTAGAATATTAGTATTTTCCTGTAATCTTTCTATATGTCTACTTAGAAAAATTATTTTCCTAAGCATGAGGTATGTAATTTAAAGAATACAAAATTTCTTGTTGGAAAAGCTGTAGTATGAAAACATTATGGTACCTCACTATAATTTAATAAACACATATTTGTGCTTATAGCATAGTAGGCAAACCACTGTTAGTTATTATTCTTTATTCCTGTATCATTTGGGACTTGGACTAGGGGAAGTCTCATAGTAAGAGATGGACAAAAAGTTGAAGAAATGAAACCTAAGAGAAGTTAGGGGACATTAATATTCTTTTACTTTAGATACAAGTCAGGTCTAGCTACTTTGAGTTATACATGTAGCACCTAGCACAATGCCATCTGCATGTGAACTATATGAAGGTGATCTCGTTTTATCATTGTTTTGGACAAATTTAATCACAAAATTAGAAACATTTGAGTATGTTTCATGGTTCCTTGCAGTTTAAGCAAGAGTTAACCACTGCATATCAGGAAACATTCTAGCTATTATTTGTTTTCTTCTAATCTTATTATGGTTATCAGTATATTTGCCATTGAAAAAATAAAGATGTTCAGTTTATACCTATGTTTAAAATGTGATTCATCATACTATACTTGTACATTCATATTGGTAAACCCACTGTTTTTACTGAGTATGTAAAAAACATTTAAACATAATTTTATGGGCTCAGTGACTGTAATTATTCTCCAAGTATAGGCTTTTAATTAAATGCATATAGATTAGTTCCTTAATAAGTAGGAACTTACCTTCTTTTCAGTAGACTATTAAAAAAAGGGCTGGCAGCTCAAAATAAAATGCATTAGTCACTTAATGTTGTACATTGAAAAATTATTTTAAAAAGATACTTGGGATTGGGGATATTTATGGTAAAATTTAACCAGAAGATGGCAGTGATGATCCTTCTATACATGCCCTGCAATGGTAATCAAAAAGTTTTACAAATGTAATAGCATGAAATACGCACATTCAGCAGTTCGTGTATAATGTTAAAAGTGAGAATTTAGAGGAAAGCATTTGTTGTTTGTTTTATATACTATGAAAAATGTGTATTTTTCTATAAGAAGGGATTAAGAATATTTTGGGTGTCTGTATCTTTGTCTGTACACTTCAGTTTTTTCTGAATACTGGGGTAAGGAAGTTACCATAAGTCTTGCCTTGTTTTTAAGTTGCATGTATCACTTTATGTTATGCATCATGTCTAGAAGGCATGCTGTTTTATAGCCTGTTTGGATTTTTCACCCAAGTAGCTGGACACTAATGGACATTTTAAAGGAACTACAGTCATTTCTCTAAATTGGCCTTTTTTTTTATGGGGGGAAAATGAAATAATTTAAGACATGAAAGAAAAAAATTATTAGTCAAAAATTAACATTTTAAAATAAGTTTCAGAAAACCAGAGAGTAAATGACCTTTCAAGTGTATTTCAGAGTTTTGATTTTGACAGCAAGTATGAATAATACCTGTAATCTAGTGATCTAAAAAGTGAGACTTTAGGAAGGGGAGAAGGAATGCTCTCCTTTGAAAATTAGTGCCCACATTTGGTGTTGGTTTGAATAAATATGCATCCTCCATAATCTTGCTTTTTTTTTCTCAACATAAATCCCAAATGCATTTTGCCAGAGAAATTGCATGAATTGTCAGCATGCATTGTTAACTTTGTCTTTCTCCTCTTCTTTCCGTTGTTCATTTTCATTCATGTATTTATGTTTTTTGGTTTGCCATTACTCTTTCTTTTTTGTGAATTACTTCATGTTAAATTACTTTTGAAACGTCATAAGCTGAGCAACCTCTCCTTGTAGTAACAGCAGATACCTGTCTATTTCACTGTTTAGTCCCTGCTCCTATGTCTCCATCCTCCAAATCTGTGAGCACACCAAGTGAAGCTGGAAGCCAAGACTCTGGAGACGGTGCGGTGGGGTCCAGGTAAAGTAAATTTCTTCTGATATTTTAGTGGTAGAATGCATTTAGTGCCCAGATACTGTCAGTGCTTTAAAGAGGCTCTACATAGTTATGTTGAGGTAGCCCTAACATTTTGAGATCTAAATGGTATAAAAATTGTTTGTTATAAATTGGTGATGTGTGTGTGGGGGGTGGGGGGGGTTACAGTATTTTAATGGTCATACTTGATTAACTTAGTATTGAATAGCTAAATGACTTTATGCTAATGATATTACATTAAAAATAGAGGTATTAATAGATTAAGTTTTTTTTTCTGTTTAAGCAAACTTTATACTGGTTATTACATGGATGTTTTAGGTATGAATAATGTAAAACCTCTCTGCTGTGCTTAACTCCCCATTCAGGAATTGAAAATCTAAACAATTTATATAGCCCAGTTCTGGTCTATTAACTCGGTACTTCTAATTAAGATAAAAAATAATACGTAAAATACCAAGATTAAGGAAAATTCCTTATGAAACGTTAAGAGTGTTTATACTGCTTTGAGGGCATTATGCTAGGTGAAATAAGTCAGAGAAAGACACTGTATGATCTCACTCATGTGGAATCTAAAAGATTCTTATAGATACAAAGAATAAAGTGATGGTTGCCAAAGGCAGGGGATGGGGATGGGTAAAATGGGTGAAAAGGTTCAAAGGTACGAACTTCCAGTTATAAAATAAGTCATGGGGATGTAACATACAGTGTGGTAACTACAGTTAATAATAGTGTATTGCAGATTTGAAAGTTGGTAAGAGTAGATCTTAAAAGTTCTCATCACAAGGAAAAAAATTTTGTTGTTATAGTGACAAGTGTTAACTAGACTTACTAGGTGATCATTTCACAATATATACAAATATTGAATCATTACATTGTATGCCTGAAACTAATGTAATGTTAGATGTTAGTTATATCTCAATTTTTTAAAAAGTGTTTACTGCCAGGTTTTCCTGAATTCTCATCTTCCTTGTAAAACTTTTTTTAATGTTTGTTTTAGGATGCTGCACACATTTTGGGACTTGCATTTCAAAAGTTCAGTACGATTTCAGCTTCTTTTCAAAGATTGTATTGGGAAAAGTATTATTACTTACTCTCTTTGTCATATACACACATGCACACACGCACAGTAATAGCAAGTGTTTATTTAATAATGCACTTTTTGACTTCTGTGAAAGCTGAAATGAGATTAAACATAGCTAGTTAAAATGTTTATTCAGAATCCTTATTTTGGGTCCTGGAATTAAATGGCCTCTTAAGGAAAATTTCTTAACACACATTTTGATGAGAAATAAAATGAGAAGTTTTATCTGGTTTGTGCCTGAACTCCTGTGATCAAAGTTACAAATAAGTAATGAGTATGTAAAAGACAGGACAAGAAAAAAAGAAGCAAAGAAGGTAGATAATCTATAAACTCAATATTTTAGTCAATTCCTGAAGAATCAGGTCATTAACAATTAGAAGGCACAGAAGGCTCACTATTTGAATTTGAGATGTGTTTTCCAGAACTGTTCTGTATGTAAAGCCAAAATGATGAATCTAAGCAATATTATCATTAGAGATAAATGACATAAATCTATATCATTTTGAAAAAAATCAAAACTTTCTTTTTAGAAATAATATTACCTTATAAAATAGTATGTGTTACAAAGTAAAAACTTAACTTGTTTAGTCTAAGTTCATTTTTAAACCAGATTTGTTTCATATTTCAGTATTTTTATATAAATATGTTACTATTCCTTTGCTGATAAGCAAGTGATATTTTCAAGAGAAGGGTTTTTCCTTTTTGTAACATAACAAAGTAAAAATATCCCGCAAATAAAAAAACTACATTTATTAATTTATTGGATATTATATACTTTTTTTTATAGTGATACTATACTCTGTTCATGCCAAACTCAGTATTTTTTATTTTGAATAGGAGAAAGATGATTTTAGTGCATTGTCAATAAGCTCTCTTTCAAAAATACTATGTAACATCTTGGCTTTTTAAGTCTTTGTGAATTAAAACATGTCCTCCTGAGTTTTGTTGGAAAACCTAGAGATTATTAGAGACCCAGTAGGATATTGTAAATTGGTGCAGGGAGTAAATACTGTGAAGAAAAATATTTTTGTATAGAATACATATTCAAATTGCCAATTTAATGTTAAACTATAGGCTACCACTGAAAATAAAATGTTCATGACCCTTACCTTCATGGAACTTACATTGTAGTGAATACATCATTAATTTAAAGATATTCGCTGTATTGAAAAGGTCTAAGGATAGTGTGCTAACTTGTGATTAAACTGTAGATTTTTTTTTATTAAGCTATCATTGATATACAGTCTTATGTAGGTTTCACATGAGCAACGTTGTGGTTACTACATTCACCCATATTATCAACTCCCCCACCCACATCCCATTGCAGTCACTGTCCATCAGCATAGTAAGATACTCTAAAGTCAATCCTTGTCTTCTCTGTGCTGTATTGCCTTCCCCATGACACCCCTATATTATGTGTGTTAATCATAATGCCCTTTAATCCCCTTCTCCCTCCCTCCCCCATCCACCCTCCCCAACGCCTTCATTTTGGTAACTACTGGGTCTTGGAGTCTGCTGCTGTTTTGTTTCTTCAGTTTTGCTTTGTTCTTATACTCCACAAATGAGTGAAATCATATGGTATTTGTCTTTCTCAGCCTGCCTTATACAGTGAGCATAACACCCTAGTCTAGCTCCATCCATGTTGTTGCAAATGGTTGGATTTCTTTTCTTCTTATGGCTGAATAATATTCCATTGTGATTATGTACCACATCTTTATCCATTCATCTGCAGATGGACTCTTAGTTTGCTTACACATAATGGCTGTTGTAAATAGCTCTGTGATAAACATAGGGGTGCATATGTCTTTTTGAAATTGGGATCTTGTTTTCTTTGGGTAAATAGGAGTGGAATTCCTGGGTCAAATGGTATTTCTATTTTTAATTTTTTGAAGAAACTCCGTATTGCTTTCCACAATGGCTGAACTAATTTATCTTCCCACTAGAAGTGGAGGAGTTATTTATTCCCCTTTCTCTGCATCCTTGCCAGCATTTGTTGTTCCTTGTCTTTTGGATATTGGCCATCCTAACTGGTGTGAGGTGATATCTCATTTTGGTTTTAATTTGCATTTCCCTGATGATTAGTGATGTGAAGCATCTTTTCATGTGCCTGTTGGCCATCTGAAATTCTTTGCAAAAGTGTCTGTTCATATCCTTGACCCATTTTTTAATAGGTTTATTTGCTTTTTGGGTGCTTAGGTGTGTGAGTTCTTAATATATTTTGGATGTCAATCCCTTATCAGATAAATTGTTTATGAATATGTTCTCCCATACTGTAGGATGCCTTTTTGCTCTGCTGATAGTGTCCTTTGCTATACAGAAGGTTTTTAGTTTGATGTAGTGCCATTTGTTCATTTTTATTTTGTATTCTTTGAGGAAATGTGTTCAGGAAAAAGTTGCTCATGTTTAAATTCAAGAGATTTGTGCCTATGTTTTTTTCTAAGAGTTTTATGGTTTCGTGACTTACATTCAGGTCTTTGATCCATTTTGAGTTTACTTTTGTGCATGGAGTTAGACAGTAATCCAGTTTCATTCTCTTACATGTAACTGTCCAGTTTTCAAAGCACCAGTTGTTGAAGAGGCTATCATTTCCCCATTGTATATCCATGGCTCCTTTACCATATATTAATTGACCATATATGCTTGGGGTTATATCTGGGCTCTCTAATCTGTTTCATTGATCTCTGGTCTGTTCTGTGCCAGTATCAAATTGTTTTGATTACTGTGGCTTTGTAGTAGAGCTTGCAGTTGGAGACCATAGTCTCCCAGCTTTATTCTTCCTTCTCAGTGTTGCTTTGGCTATTCATGGTCTTTTGTGGTTCCATATGAATTTTAGAACTAGTTGTTCCAGTTTGTTGAAGAATGCTGTTGGTATTTTGATAGCGATTGCATTGAATCTGTAGATTGCTTTAAGCAGTATGGCCATTTTGACAATATTAATTCTTCCTACCATGAGCACAGGATGTATTTCCATTTATTGGTGTCTTCTTTAATATCGCTCATGAGAGTTGTGTCAGTTTCAGGGTAGGTCTTCTACCTCCTTGGTTAGGTTTATTCCTAAGTATTTTATTCTTTTTTGATGCAGTTGTAAATGGAATTGTTTTCCTGATTTCTCTTTCTGCTAGTTCATTGTTAGTGTATAGGAATGCAACAGATTTCTGTGTATTAATTTTGTATCCTGCAGCTTTGCTGAATTCAGTTATTCTAGTAGTTTTGGGGTAGATTCTTTAGGGTTTTTTACGTACAATATCATGTCATCTGCAAACAGTGACAGTTTAACTTCTTCCTTACCAATCTGAGTGCCTTTTATTTTTTTGTGTTGTCTGATTGCTGTGGCTAGGACCTCCAGTACTATGTTGAATAAAAGTGGTGAGAGTGGGCATTCTTGTCTTGTTCCCAATCTTAGAGGAAAACCTTTCAGCTTTTCACTGTTAAGTATGATGTTGACTGTTGGATTTTTATATATAGCCTTTATTATGTTGAGGTACTTGCACTCTATACCCATTTTGTTGAGAATTTTTATCATGAATCAATGTTGAATTTTGTCATGTTTTTTCAGCATCTATTGAGATGATCATGTGATATCTGTCCTCCTTTTTGTTGATGTGGTGGGTGATGTTGTTGGATTTTTTAATATTATACCGTTCTTGCAACCCTGGAATAAATCCCACTTGATTGTGATGGATGATCTTTTTGATGTATATTTGAATTCAGTTTACTTATATTTTGTTGCATATTTTTGCATCTGTGTTCATCAGGGATATGGGTCTGTAATTTTCTTTTTTTGTGTTGTTTTTGCCTGATTTTGGTATTAGAGTGATGTGGCCTCATAGAATTGGTGTAGAAGTATTCCCTCCTCTTCTTTTTGGAAAACTTTAAGGAGGGTGGGTATTAGGTCTTCTCTAAA